CTGAAGAAAAAAATCTTAAGAGAAAAGTAGTTTATTTTGGCCTGCCTTTCCATGAGGACACAATCGATCATTGCAGGGAAATATGGCAGACACAGGGAAGGCATTGGTAGAAGCAGGCAGCTGGCTGGTCACATTGAATATATATTCAGGAAACTAAAAGTAAAAGGAAACAGAACTAAGCTATAAAGACTCAAGGCCCGCCCCCCGTGACACACTTCCTCCAATGAGGCTCCACCACTTAAAGGCTCAACATGCTTCCCAAACTGCACCAAAGTGCGGATTGGCAGCTTCCAACTGGTGCAGGAAGGACAGAAACATCAGGCTACCTAGACAGTCACCCTAAGTCTCACAGCAACATTGGTGCAACCAGTTTTGGCTAAGGCCAAGAGTATCTGACAGACCACAACAACAGCAGGGAGGTAGAAAGGCTGTCTTACCCTGACTTGGCAAGGTTCAGCAGTCTTCTGTGTTTGTTTCCTGCAAGCACAGTACGACAGCTTGTCCAAGTCGGTGGTCGATGTGGGGGCAGTTCTTTGCCCAAGAGGCCATAAGATGAGGAGAGGATGGACTCCAGCAGGAGCAACAACAGTGTCCAACATATTTTCGGGAAAGTGCACGGTGCTGTCAGGAGCAACAGTGTCTCATGTCAACAGAGTACTAATATTAAAACATTTAAATGCCATTTTCTATAGGTCTATGAAGAGTTTGAAGATTAAGCATCTATGTCTGACTAATCTCATAGGTATAAGAAACATGGGTGAAGATAATCTGTAATACTCAGGAACCTAGCTATAAAACTGGTTGAAATTTCCCTGAGTAAAGCAGGGACATATTACTTTAGCAATATAACTATGTATGCATATATACATGTAAGTCTCTAAAACAGAGGTAGAGTAGAAATATCTTGACCAGAGGTAGAACTGTATAGTGAGCTAAGCCTATGGGGGTGTATTTTCATACAAATCACCACACCGATGCCCCATGAGGGAATTTAACCTTATTTATAGTAACATTGATTTTATATAAATAAATATATTGTAATGTACAAATATCATATATGTATATAGAACTTCACAGTTTCCTGGTGATGTTCAATGAGCTCATCTTCCTTTAATTCCAATTGGAGTGACATCATTACACTTGCTTCTGATGGAGCACTGACAAGTCGAGGTGCCTGGGATTGAGATTATAAATCAGTTGACTTTATTATTGTATTTCATCTATCTAAATATGTCCTAATCAATCCTTTCATTTAAAGTAATAATCTTTATTGATACAAGGAGTGTGGCACCTTGCTACCGTATTTGTCTATGCAAGGAGATGCATCAGAAAACACAGCATGGAAGGTCTTCATAAAGGCACTCCCTCAAAATCCCATTCTGGACAGCCTGAGCCATTGCCAAGTACCCCGAACCTAAACTAGAATAATGTCCCATTGTTATTAGGTAGATAACACCCACATGTTTTCTCAATTAGGTTTTTCTCCTTGAAAGCTTTAGTGTAGTGTTGTTTGCTGGTATATTAGTGTTGCCAGCATAGTGTTCTCAGTCACTTGAGAGCATTTAGTGGAATGAAGTGACATGGATTTCTTCTGTGAGGCCAGCAGTTAATAAGGGGCAAGCAAATGTCAGAATAAAGTCAGGTCACTGGCTCTTCCCCAAGTCCTCAAGTTTTGCTCGGGGACTTTGGAGGTGGTGCTAAGCATGTAGATATATATTACTCATCTTTTCTGCTAATAAAATGGCTCTTTATTGTAAGGTAGAGGTAGATGCTTAACCAAGCCATTTCTTTGTCTTGTTCATGAAAGCCCTTGAAATCTAGAATTGCCAAGGCTTAGAGAAGTCCATGAACTCTGGTGGGAAGAGACAAGGAATGGAAACAAGGATTGCTTTTCTGGAAGTGCTGAGTATGTTCTGTCCATCTGCTAGTGCTCCCACAGGGTCCTGTATAGTATGGCCTCCCTGTGGAGGGAAGGAACAGAATACAGAAGCATGTGACATCTGCCCCCCCCCCCCGCCCGTCCCATAGCCTGGTGATTTGTAGTTAGAGGACAGCCTGTGTCCTTCAGGTCTGGGTAGCTGCTTCCGGAGTCTGGATGTCCAGGGTTCCAGATTCTTGCCTGAAAACCTGGAGGAGCCAGTCCTCTGTGTTCACGGCTCCCCTTTAACAGCTAAGGGACTTGGCTTGAATATATAAATCCTGCTATTTAGTGGAGAATGCCTGGGACTCCCGTGGCTTAGTCACTGCAGCATAACTATGTGAGATTCCTATAGTGTACATTCACCTATTGACTGCACATTTTCTTTTGGTATATGATTTTCCAATATATATATATATATATATATATATATATATATATATATATGTATGGATATATATTCATATCAGTAGACTCATCTTTCATCCTACCTCTCCTGGTCAAGGACACCTGTGGCCTGTATGCTGCCCAGCCCAGTGACAGTTTCCAGCTGTTATTACCCTTCGTCTGTTAGGAGCACTTGGTGCATTATTCCTCCGTCTTAATTACCCTTCTCTGTTTTCTTCAGTGGAGTGTGAGCGTGACTGGAGTTTCTTGTCCCACCAGGTCCCGCTGTCCTTCTCAGCCCCAAATAAACACGAGGACACTATATTAGCTATAAAACTGCCGGCTGATGATTAGTGCTCAGTGGCTAGCTCTCTCTTAATTATTAACCCATAACTACTAATCTATGTATTTCTACATTGCCTTATCTTACCGGAGAATGCCTGCCACATTCTATCCTGCCAGTCTCCACATGGCCTCTCTTTCACAGTCTTCCTCTGCCTACCTTTCCCAGAATTCTCCTTGTCTCCTCATTCCCCCCTCTCTTCCTGCTTCATTAGCCATTCATCAACCAATGAGAGAAATACATATACAGAATGACATACCCTACCATGTATGCCCAGGGAACACCAGTTTTTTTCTTTGTCATCACCATTCATGTGTCTCAACATTTGTGGAATACACAAACAAGCCAACGTGACTCCATCTCACTGATTGCTGGCATTGCTGTTTTTCAAGTGTTGGTTTCAAGTCTCCATTTGAAGAATGCCTAAGAAAAATGCGCATTCTTCTGAATGGAGTTACTCTCCCTTGCCTGCCTGTCCTCACATACCTCCCTCTGGAGCAGTTTATTGGGCTGATCTCTGCTGTGGAAATGCAAACAATTCTTTCCTCCCTGTGGGAAAATGCTTAGACATTACCCTGCAGACACCACATATTTTTTCACCGATATTTACATAGCTCTGGCTGTTCATATTACTACTAAGAATCAAGAGAATAAAATCTTCTCGTGTTGGACTAAATGCCCCCTTCGGCTACCAATGAAAGCCGAGACTCTCAGGAGTTTTTTTTTTTTTTCCCCTAGCTGAGTTATTACTTCCTGCCTAGGCAGTAGCCTTCTACTGTATTACTGTATATTCCTGAATGAATTCTGTTTTATCTTTGGTGTAGTCTGTATTATTTGCATGTGATCCACGCAAATGGTATGACCTATCAATCTGGTTGCTTTCTAGACCAGTTAGTCTTGTGTGTATTCAAGGTCTTTCCCCCAAGAACTCCCAATCAGTTCTTAATTCCAGTGTTCTGTTCCAGCAGCTTCAAGGAGCCTGGGTACCTGGCAGTTCTTGCTGACCCAGCCAGAAGAGGCCAAATGATTCATTTCACTTTCAGGGACTATTACTGGGTTTCCATACTCCTTGGCACTATAAATAGCACTCCAGGGAGCACTCGGGCACACAGAACATTTTCTTTGCAGACTAGCTCGATATTTGCAGAAGAAAGTCACATGCTGTCTGGTTTAATACAAGTCACCTGTCCCTGAGTGGCTCCCAAGTTCTAAACAGAGACCATCCAGCATGCTCACAAGCAGCCTGCGTTCTTCCAGCAAATACTGTTGCCCTTGCTTGTACTGTGTTCTCTACCTGGTAGAAGCCTGAGTATTCTTCTTTCTATGTGGGGTGTGTGTGTGCGTGTGCGTGTGCGTGTGTGTGTGTGTGTGTGTGCGTGCGTGTGTGTGTGTGTGTGTGTGTGCGTGCGTGCCCATCTCTGGGGCCAAAGGTCAGCACTGGGTATCTTGATCAATTGCTTTACATCTTATTTGGGGGAAGGGTCTTGCACTAAACCTGGCGCACATGATTCTTCTCTGCTGGCTGGCCAGCGAGGGCCAGAATCTCCTTGTCTTCAACACGGCCCTCCCCCTCCCAAGCTGGGATTCCAAGCACAGGCAGTCACACTCAGCTGTTTCATACAAGTTGTATGGCTCACGTTCAGGGTCTCCCTGTCACCAGGGAAGCACTTTTCTGACTAGGCCATCTCCATCATTCTTCAAGTGACAAAGCTTTGTCTGAGTGCTGGGGCACTGTACTGTCCCCTCCTCCGCAGCTTCTTCTTCTGCAACGCCATCAACTTTATGGCGCAGTTTAGCCGTGGGTGAGAGCTCCCACTTCCTTTGTGCCTGTCTCCCTTCACACACTGTGACTCTGTGTCCTCCTAGCTGTCTCCAGCAGTTACCACCATAAGCAACACCCAGACACTGTTAGGGAATGAACCGCTGGTGGTGTCATTGCAGTCACACTGGAGAACCAGACTCACTGGACTTGACTTCCTGCCTAATAAATACCTTTTGAAACAATCTTGCGTTTAGCTTGGACTTTTCTGTCCCCCCTAGCAAATACCCTGTGCAATATGCCCAGTCTATTTGAGAAAGAAAACAAACAATAATGTCGTTACATTTAAATATATTCCAGGAACTTTTTGTTGTTTTGCTTAACCCCACCTCCACCCCTCACCCCGTGCCCCTTTTTAACCCCAGAGAGACAGGCCCGCTTGGTCCTCAGCTGCTCAGTGACATCCTCCTCCTTCCCAGGATTCTTTTTGCCCTGTCTGCCTTCACATTCCTCGGGTCTGCTGCTGTCAAAAATGATGTCGGAGCCCTTGTATGTTCTTTGCAGTGAAAACCCGCCTTGTTTTCTGTTGCTAGGAAACCCCCTTCCAGCTGCCACTGAAGAAATGTGCGGTGGTGGGAAACGGTGGGATTCTGAAGATGAGTGGCTGTGGCCGTCAGATAGATGAAGCAAATTTTGTCATGCGGTAAGAGAGCGCCCACAGAGTGGCCTGTGACACCTCTCCTCCTTCCCGTCCTTCTGTAAGCCCAGCACCTTTCAAACCTAGTGGCTTGCAATTAATCCCCTGGCACCTGTCTTTAGCTTCTCTTCAAGCCTGCATGCAAGTGAGACTAGGAATGCACGGAGGGGAGTGAGGGGCCTTCCCCGAAGCTGAGCAGGCTCCACGGTAGTGGAGGTGGCCTCTGCTGCTAATGAGGGCAGCCGGGAGAAGGGTAAGGGCTCAGATCTTCCCTGGGATTATACACTTGGGTGAGTAAAACCTTGGAAAGTGCTGTCTCCTCGGGGCTGACTGCATATGAATAAACATTTTAGTCCTTGCACCCTTTCTCCCTAGTTTCCCACAGAAGTATTAGAAAGGAACAAGGGGGAATCTAAAGGTGGGCTTTGTCCCTATGGAACGGGCAGGAAAGATGGGGACCAAACTTCATATCCCAGGGAACCTCAGTCAAGGGACTACGCAGGCAGCGTGGGGATGTGGGGACGCAGACGTGAGTTTTGGTAAAGGACAAGAGGTCGCTTCAGGGCAGTGATAAGAACTGCTAAGCCTGACCGAGGGAAGGCACCTTTAAAGTGCAGCCTGCCAGCCTGTGCTGGCGGAGTGTGAGCAAGCACCGCCCAGGAGACCGGTGTACAGTAAAGACAGCAACTGGCTGCACCTGTGCACACGGAGGTTGCTTGGCCGAGAAGGAAGAAAGATAGAGTGTTAAAGAGAGCAGCTCTAGATAGAAATCATGTGAGGTGACGCATGTCAAAGCCAGGTCAGGATAAGGAGTGGGCTCTGCGCTGAGAGGTATGATAGAGAAAGACACAGGGCCAAGTGATGGGGGGGATTCGGTGGGGGCGGGAGGGGGAGAGCAGTGAGGGAAATGTTGACCAATTAACGAGCTCAGGGCTAAGCATGGCCCCGGAATATGAATGCAGCTTATCTGTGACATAGTGTGTGGGGGGGGAGGGGAGGAAAACATGTCTCGTTAAGGAAACAAAAGACTTTGAGAGGTTGGAAGACTCTTTCAGGTGAACCCCAAAATTTCTAGGACATAGGAGTGACTGTGAACCAGGAACCCAAGGATTCTGTGATCAGAAGTGTGGTGACACATTGTTTATGACTTAATAAAGTCACTGGAGGTCAAAATGCAAAGCCAGCCACAGCCATAGAGCCAGGCAACCGTGACACACACCTTTAATCCCAGCAGCCACACCAGTTAGCTATAAAAAGCTGGGCAGTGGTGGCATACACCTTTAATCCCAGGACTCAGGAGACAGAGGCAGATGGGTCTCTGTGAGTTCAAGGCCACCCAGGGTTACATTAGAGTGAATCAGTCTAAAAGAGAAACAGCTCACACAAAGGAGATGTCAGCATTTTGGATCCCATGCTCTAGAGGGGTATATAAGATGGGAGCCGGGCATTGGGTATTCAGTCTGAGATTTATTCTCCAGCCACACTGAGGACAGGACAGCCCTTTCAGCCTGAGGTAGAGGGAAGAGCTGGTGGCTGGATGCTTTGCTTTTCCGATCTTCAGCTTGAAGCTTGGACCCCAGTATCTGTGTCTGGGTTTTTTTTTTTTTTTTTCATATTACAGATAAAGACTTACAGGTAAAGATTCCTAGCATCTACCTAAAAAACCAGGTGTATTCTTACTTCCAGAGATAGGGAGGCGGAGGCTGGAGGATGCCTTGGGCTTGTAGAGCAGCCAGCCTGGCTGAGTTGATGAGCTTCAGGTGAAAGATCTGAAGAGAGAGACCCTGGTTCAAAATATAGGAGGGAGAGTGGCCGAGGAAGACGCCGTTAAAGACCGCTAGCGTCCACACACACACACACACACACACACACACACACACGCACGCACGCACGCACACTCACACGCACGCACACACACACACACACACACACACACACACACACACACACACACACACGCCATGGGTGCATTGCAGGATGGGGGGGGCTAAGAGTTCTAATCCATCTTGGAGCTCTGAGCTGTCCCTGAGTGTTTCAAGTGCAGCCGTTGTCCTAGAGAATGCCACAGAGCCTCTCAGAGCAGAGTTGCTTTGCCATCAAGACATGTTGTTGAACTTGTAGCAGTGGGGGTGTGGGGTGTAGGTGTGGGGACAGGGTGTCCTTTGCGTTCTACCTGTCCTTCAAGAGTGCTCTAAGGTAACACAACCCGCTGTGGGGCTGTGTTTTCTTCCCCTCCGCTGCTTGTTTTATTATTCTATGCTTGCAGCGTATGCAGGTAACGGGGACAAGGACTGGGGCACCATTGATTTAAGACACCGAGTGCAGCCCTGGATGCAGGAGATGCCCGGTGCTGAATCCTTTCCTTGTCGCACCGTGGCCTGAGGAGCAAGGGTTAATAAGCTAAAGCGGAGCGGGTCTCACGGTGCATCCTTCTCTACAGCTCCAACGGGGGCTGCTTGGGTGTCACGAGACATGGGAGGAGGTGTAGGAGAAATAAGTACGCCATAGGATTGGGTAAATCTCACAGGAAGCAGAGGCAGACGAGGGGGTCAGGGAACCCCGATGCTGGCAGGCCCCCACTCCAATCCCTGGGTTATTACATGAGGCTGAGAAGCTAATAAAGAGCACGGGATTGGAAGGATGTGCCAACTGCACAGCTGAACAAGTTGGTGCTCTGCTTTGTATCATTGCACCTTTGCGGAGGAAGGAGATGGAGGCATCCCTCAGTCAACCCTCATCTTATGTACGCGTCTATGAATACCGTGTCGTTGTTGTGTTGACAGCCCTTTTGAACCTTCAACTCTCTGAAGCACAGCCAAGGGGCTTTCTCTAAACACGGGATGAAGAGATGTCAGGAGAGGTGTTACGGTGAGAGTCTGGTGCAGCAGCTCCCCCGGACCATATGTAACTAAGGAGTCCCATGGTTCTACCCACCACTGATGGTCTCAGCTCTCATCCTGTCCTGCAAGCTGGTCCACCCTGCCGAGCCTTCCCTTAAATGGGCTAACCTGTTCATCCTGGAGGGCGCATACTTGCCCTTGTGGATAACTGTCCTCATCCGGAGTGGGAGGCCTGTCCTATGAGGTTTTATTTGCCTGGGATTTAAGGTGACTCAAGAGAAGGGCTAAGGACACTAACACGTCTGCTTTAGCATCCAAAGTGCCGGCACAAAACTAAGGCAGAGATGCTGGTCTCTCCTCCTGCGCTCAGTTATCCTGTAGCCCAAGCAGGGGAGTCCAGCTTTTTAGCAAAAGCAGATTCTATTGCTCTTGGTGTGTATGTGTGTGTGTGTGGGGGGGGTATGTGTGCACATATGCACGTGTGCTAGCATGAACAGGGCCACCATTAGGAAGACGTGTAGAAGAGCCGACCTAAGCACGGGATTATCTCGTGGTGTCCCATTTATCCCAAATAGACTCAGCTAGGTTAGCCTTTTACACAGTCTGCTGTTGATACTATACAAGTTCAGAACTATTGAGTGCCCGGCGGGGGGGGGGGGTTAGAAAGCGTGCGGCATGGGTAAATGAAGTGGGGGAAAGGTCTCCACATAGCCTTGCCTATACAGTATACCTAGATTACAGTTGAGACTTCCAGGCCTGTCCTCCAACTATTCCATAATGTTCTTTACATAGACCTTTTAAAAATATATCCTTCAAAATGTTAAGAAAAAATAAAACAACCAATTTCCCACTTTTTTCAAAGTGCGCATTTACTCTTTAACCCAAAGCAGCACTTTGAAAATAATCTTGGGGGGGGGGTGGGGAGCTGGATGTGTGACTCAGTGGGTAGAGTACTTGCTTAAAACTGAATGTGAGAGGGCACTTGGGTCCCAGCACTTGGGAGGTGGATCAGAAGAACTTGAGGCATCCCTGGGCTACAGGAGACCCTGTCTCAGAACACCAGCGACAAATTCTTGAATTCAGTTTCTCTACAGCAAGAGTAAGGCAGAAGTAATAATGATCACACAGTGAAGACAGACTGTGTGGCTCCCAGTCACTGGATGGAAACAGCTTTGGAGCCTTTTGGATTGTATGAAGTGTAATGTTCTGCTTGCTTACACACACACACACACACACACACAGAGGCACATACGCACGCACACACACCCATAGCTACGTTTTTCCTTTGTTGAATCTTCTATCCAGCATGCCCATCCCTCACTCATCTCCCTTTTCCGTTCTTGGATCTCTTTCAGGATTACAAACATCACCATTATGGAGACAATTTAAACAACTAATATTTCTCTCAATTGTGCCAACAAGCAATAATGTGAAATTTGGGACACTTTATACAAGTATGCCTTATTAGAAACAATTTGACTGTATTAAATGGGCCTTTTATGCAAATCTATGTAATTATCAATTTAGGAATTGAGGAGCTAAATGCTCAGTGCACTTTTCCTAAGAAAAGAGATACAGGGAAACGGTACTGTTTGTGCTGGAAGAGGATGTTTACAGAGCAGAAGGCAGGACATCTCATCAATACGCACTGTCATCAGCTTCAGAAAGCCATGTCTAAAAATCTGTCTTGCTATCAGCACCCTCTGTTACAGGAAAACAAACAAACAAACAAACAAACAAACACCAGCCTTCAAATTTTATTGTTGTTTTGGTTTTGGGATTTTTGTTTGTGTGTTTGTTTACTTATTGATAAAACTTTTCTTGAGGTTTTACTATGTGCTAGGTGATATAAATGGATGCAGGCATATGAGTCACAGAAGAAAACAAAATAGTTGTACGTGCACACTAATTTTTTATTGACAAGGCAGGTTACTGGGACTCCCTAGCAAAGTTTAGAATTCTACAGTCGATTCTCAAATGTTAGCAAGGGCAGTCCAGACCAAAGCGTCCTTAAGGCAGCCACCCAAATTTTAGCCTGTGTATTATTTGGCAAGCCACCTTGCCTTTGTAAAGGTCAGTTAAATAGTGCAATCACACTGTTCCATGGGGCCTGGGTTGATGACTTGAGTACACTCTTCTGCAAGACTCCCCAGAAAGCCACGTGGGGTATGGTGTTGTCAAGGGCTTGTAGATGCCTCAAGAGTGGGTTTTGTGACCATCTATCTCCTCCCTAGCTTTCCACAGTGCCTACCGTTTGCTTTCAGTAAACATTCAACAAGTCACCAGCTAGCTGGCTGACTGACCTGTGTGTGGCTACAGAAAATCCATTTTTTTTTTTTTTATTACCCACAAGCAGATGAAAGGGAGATTTTTAATCAACATGGAGATGTTTCCATCTGGATGGCCTGGTGTGGCCAGAGTCACAGGGCTCAGAAGAAAGAGAAGCTGGGGTGGGGATCAAGTCAGCTGATACATGAGTGGGCAGTTTCTTCTCCCAGGGCACATGGGTAGGGGAAATTCAGCAGATCACAGAGACCACAATATTAGTAAAAACATCATTATGTATAAATAAATCATGCAAGCTAGACATGCCCTGATGTGGTAGGAATCTAATCTGACGTGGTTGGAGAGGAGAGATTCAACTTACAATGCATAATCAGATTTCTGTGGTCTTTCTGACAGGATCGTTTTGAACTTTGGCTGTGTGCAACATTAAAACTGAGACTTTTAAGCAGAGTTCTCTTGGTCCTTACTATGGCGCAGGGGTCTGGAGGCACTATGGCCAGGGAAATGTGTGAACATGATGCCCACAGGCAGAAAGCCACAGGTTTGGATGTGAAACAGCTGCTCCCCACTGTATACATACATTCATAAGGCATCATGACCAAAGGAAACAGGGCAGGGATGGAGTTTGGGTTATCAGTGGGGTGATTGCTTTCTCTCACGGAGAATCCATCACTTCTTAGTCTGGGAAGATGGCTCACTAGCTCACTAGCCACACACACTTGAGGTGATGTGTTCCACCCCCTCAGAAAAAGCATAAACTAGGCATGGTGGCATGTGCTATAACGCCAGTGTCATGGAAACAGAGACAGGAGGACCCTGGAGCTCACTGGCCCGCTGGTGCAGGCAAGCCAGTAGCTCCGGGTTCAGTGAGAGACCTTGTGTCACAAAATAAGGTGGACAGTGATTAAGGGGGACACTTAATGTTGACTTCTGGCTGCCACATACATACACATGAAGGTGCACTTGTGTAGCACGTGTGTGTGTGTGTGTGCGCACATGAGAGCATGCTGCACGCACATGGGTGCACACATGCATGTGCACATGCACACGGGTGCACACACACGCATGCACACACACACACACACACACACACACACACACCAAATAAATAAAGGAAGGAAGGAAGGAGAGAAAAGCACAAGCCCCCCAGAACTTTGGCAATGCTAATGGTTAATTAGTCATCTAATGCCATGAAAAATGTAAGGCACTGAAAACAGTTATTTGTGAATTGAGCCGGAATTAACATTCCTATTTGTGTGCCGATGCCCGACTTGATTTAAAAGTACATGCGCCATCCTGAAACGTTCCTCCTTGCATTTCTAGATGCAATCTCCCTCCTCTATCAAGTGAGTACACCAGGGATGTGGGCTCCAAAACTCAGTTGGTGACAGCGAATCCCAGCATAATTCGCCAGAGGTAAGACTTCATGTTTTCTCTTTGTGGGGACTGAAGAGGAAGGTTTGTGAAGTCATCAGCATCTTACAGGCCATGAGCATAATTCATCCTGGAAAACAAAGAGAGGAGCCATCTGGACCGGCAGGAAGGATGCAGGAGGGAATCGTAAATAAGCCAGGCGGTATTATGGGAGTCCTCAGTATTTCATGCTTCCTCTGGGCTCTGGCTTCTCTCTGTTAGAGACGGTGTAAATGACAGGGGGATCGATTGTTCCTCTTGCACAGCTCAGCATCCTGCCCACTCATCACTACTCATATCCAGCATGCTGGCTCTGGTCCGACTTTCCAGTCAGCCACTGCGAGCTGGCTTATTAAACCAAAAGCAAAGAAATGACCAGTTTGCCACATGCACACATCAAGGCAGCAATGTTTTAGAATGTACAAGAGTGTGCGGTTATATTAGATTGACTACACCGCATCAGGCTTTGGAGGGCAGATGGAAAAATCCCCAGTAGCATCAATTCCAGAATACTTGGCAGCCACTATGGGAGCATTTGTGTGTTGGGGGGTGGGGGAGGCAGTCTCCAGTTGACAAAGCCTACCGGTGAGCTAAGACTGTTTGGAAAGGAAAAGTGCAGGACACACCTGAGTCTGTCCCACTGGATTTTGAACTCGTTTGTGCAAGCACCCTTCAAAGTAATTTTTAAAAATACTATAATGCTCATCACTACCGCCAGGTTAGCTAGTATTCTTGGCAGGAGTTAAATTGTAGATTCTTGGTTCCTTATTTGTTTGTTACTTGTATGCTTTATGAGAACATTGTCATCGTCAAATCTCAGAGTGCTTTTTTGGTGTGAGATGTGAAAACCTAGGTTCTTGGTCAGATCGCTTCTGTCACAAAGACTGCTTTTTACATTCAAGCAAGTGTTAGTGCATCACTGGATACATCCTCTCCCTGACAGCTAATTACTCAACATGACATAAGGTATGGGGACCTGCCAGGAGTCTGTCCCTGAATAAGATAAAGCACAACATATTTTGGTTTCTTCTAGAGAAAACCAGCCTCAATCCAGGAGAAGATTCCTCTGTTATGAATGTGTGTGTCCTTCTGTGGCCAGGAGGTTTTTTGCAGGCTTCATTCATCAACAGATATTTTCTCTCTGTTCCTTCATGTGTATGTGAGCATATGTCTCCACACACATGTAAAGGCCAGAGCTCACATTGTATGTATTTCACAAGTACTTTTCCATCTAATTTTCTGAAAACAAAATATTTTTCTGAGATGCAAATTTTCTTATAACTAAATTTTAGAGTTCACTGATTAGCTTTGTTGGCTGGCTGACCTGCAAAGCCACGGGATCCTCACACCTCTAAGTTCTGGGTCCTCACTACTGCACGTGGCTTTTATGTAGTGCTGAGGATCCGAACTCAGGTCCTTACACTTGGGAGGAAGCACTACAAATGAGCCATTTCCCCAACTTCCTAGGGAACATTTTATGTATGCACTTTTCAAAAAAAAAAAAAAATACTATGACTTTTAAGGAGAGTAACTTGGGCTTAAAAAGATCAAAGCAGCATCTCTCTCTAAAGTTTATGACTTGTGTCTTAGATGGTGTTCCAGAAACTTCTGTCCCTTCTGCCGACTTCACTTTATCTTCCCTCCAAACTTAGAGCAATGTTTCACAGTTAGCCATGCATGGTGGTATCTGCAGTGTAGCAAGATCTTAGAAAGCAAGGCTGAAAACTAGAATTGAGCATAGTAGAGATGAGAAAGAAATGTCCCCAGGAGGCTATGAATGCACACTGCTTACATGAGAGGCAATGTTCTATAGTGGCAGATAGCATGGGTGTCAGGAGTTGGGTGTATAGCTCAGTGGTAGAGTGCCTGCCTGCCACATACAGTGCCCTGGGTTCGATCCCCAGCACCACCAATAGACCTGATTCTGAGTTTAATGCTTCTACATCTACTAGTTCTATAACCAGAGTTATTTAACCTCCTTTCTGTTAGTTGGGAATAAAGTTATTCATCTCAGGGCTACTGAGAAATTGAGATAATGTAACAGAGTTAAGGAAACCATGCTTACTGATGTCCCTAGTTGTTCCTTCAGAGGACCTCCTGTTGTAATACATAATGACCTTAAGTTAAACATGCTTTCAAATGCATTATCAAACACATGAGAAGCTGGGTGGTAGTGGTGCCCACTTTTAATCCCAGTACTCAGGAGGCAGGGGGAGGTAGATTTCAGTGAGTTTGAGACCAGCCTGGTCTGCAGAGCAAGTTCCAGGACAGGCTCCAAAGCTACACAGAGAAACGCTGTCTCAGAAAAAAAAAGAAAAAAGAAAAAAACCACATGAGAGAGTTTAAGGGCATGTATTTGCTTCCCTAGCGTCTCCAAACCCAAATGGAGAACAGAAAGTAGGATCCTAAAACCTGTAAAGGTCACACACAGATGCTTAAAACAAGAGCCAGGAACATTCCCTCCCTGTGTTGAACCTGAGAAAGGGTTTCCAGGGGCTGAAGGTCAGGAGCATCTGTCAGTGTCCAGCAGAAGCCAGCATAAATCCATCCAGGGGAATACTATCAGAGTCCTCTTTGTCATGTTCAAGCAAATGTGGTCTCATAGCAAGCACTTCAGTGCACTCTAGTCATTGATAAAGGTCATCTTCAGAGACAAAAGCCAAACAAAATAATCACCTGTATCAATGCCTGAGAACTTATTAAAATCGTCGGGTATGCGAAGTTACAAAATATGAAATCATCATAGCGTAATGTCATGAGTCAATAGAGAATTAAAAAAAAAAAACACAACAAAGTTGGAAATGAATAGCTATTTTATAAATGCACAGAATTCATTGCTGAAGTGACCTGACATCAGACTAGATACAACTGAAGAGAGACTTGGTAAGCTTGAAATAAAAGTGAGGATTTTCCTGACATTAAACCTTAACGTAGAGCTGTGTGATTACAGAATAGACGTAAATATTTAGACATTTCAATAATTAGTAAACATAATCCCATGCGAGTACTGGAAAGTGGTTGCAGAGGTTACACCTAGGGATTTATAGTTGGTATTCACAGACACAGCCATGACTGCGGTGAATGGTGAACTTGCATTTGAATTAATTCATTCTCTTGTGAAGGAAGCAACTTAAGGCAGGACGGGTTTGTTTGGTTCATGGTTCGAGAAGGCACAGTCAGTTACGGTAAGAAAGCATGGTGGTAAGACACGCAGCACAGCACCATGGCAGCAGATGTAGATTATGGAGCCGAGGCAGCTGGTGGCTTTGCCTGGGTAAACCAGGAAGCAGAGAGCTAGGCTGCCCCAAACGGCCCACTTCCTCAGTGACAGCTCCTAAGAAGGTGCCGAAACTTCCTCAGACACGTCTTAGTCAGGATTTCTATTGCCCTGAAGCAACACCATGAGCACTGCAGCTCTGATAAAGGAAAACATTTCACTGGGGTGGCTGACATTTTCGGAGGTTTCGTCTGTTACCACCGTGGTGCAACATGGTGTCATGCAGGCAGACACGGTGCTGGAGACGCAGAGTCCTACATGTCTGCTCATTTTGTCACTCATCTTTACATCAGCACATTCTGATATTTTGACGGCAAAGCGTTCTTTGAAGTATGGAAAACTGAGTTTTCTTCCCAGGAGGCTCTGTCACCGTCTACATCAAGCCGCTTCCCACTTGTGCCCACCCCACAGCAGGTGACCTCCTCCGCTTTCCCTAAAGGTGGACTCACGGAGCTTGTGAGCCACGTTCTTGGCTCGCTCCCTGTCTTGGAATGATATCTGCTCTTACCCCCCCTCCCTCTCCCCCCCCCGCCGCAACTCTAGGAACTAATGGTGGCGCTTCTCATGTGCGTTCATACTCCATTTTAAAGGGGCTGTGCCTCATCTTTTACTCAAGTAGTCCCTTCTCGCTCACCTCCTCCAGGCTAGTGATACCCATCCCTTTCACTGAGAAGCTAGAAACCAGAAGGAACCGTCTGTATCCACAGCTTTCACATCAGACATGCCACCCGTGTGAGCCACCACGTTCTCAGAGCCTGGTGTATAGTCTCTTCTATCTGAAGGGTTCCCATCTAGTTTCATAATTTCCAACACTATGTTATTTCCCTCCTCGGCTTTTATTGTCAACTCCAGGGTTGAATATCCCGTTTGGATGCCTAACAGGCATATTAAACTCAAACCACTAGCATTTCCAGCCACTTTACTCCCATTTACATATCCTGTAATCTTTTCTCTGTTTCTGAATTCAAAACCTTTAAAGTCTTTAAACACAGGAAGCTTTTTCACCTCCTCCGCGGTCACGTGCTCACTACTTTTGTTCATGTCTCTGATCATGTCTCTGAAATAGTTTCTTTCATTTTAGGCTTCTGTCCCTCCTGCTTAGCCCACCTCTTGGGTTTCTGCCTCTCCCTTGCGGTCTCTTTCTCTATAGTCTGATGTGTGATACTATCACCTGCAGATTACATTTCCTTGCAGACCAGTTTTATGATATCTCCTACTTTGGGGTGTGTATTAGTCAGATTTTCTAGAGGAATAAATCCAGAAGAACACATTTGTATTAAAAGAGGAATCATTACATTGGCTTCCACAGTATGGGAAGTCCACCCCTGGTACCTTCGCACTGGTGAGGCTAAAAACCAGGTTAGGTGACTCTGCTGTCCCAGTCTGGTGCTGATTAACTGGAGGATCCCTGGAGAGCCACTGGTCCTCAGCCCACCTGCATTGGATCCTAGGAAGTTCTTATGTGCCATAAGGTTGTCACTCACACGATCCTTTCACACCGATTAACCTAATCAAGGAAGTCTCTCCCTTATAGACTGGCCAGAGTCTTGTCTCATAATTGATTCCTGTGGTGGTTTGAATAAAAGAGAAATCTTCCCCATAGGTTCAGGTATTTGATCACTTGGTCCTGAGTTAGTGGTACCGGCTGGAAAAGTTGTGGAACCTATAGGAGGAGGTGGACCCTGGAGGTAAAAGGATGAGTCACGGGGGCAGGCTTTGAGGGTTG